AAGGTCTCACTGAAAATGCTTTTTGATTTGGGAAATATGTTAAACAAAAGTACACTTTCCCAGTAATCTAATCTTCAACATATGAGATTTTATAGCTGTCCTTGGATGTATTTGCTCTACAGTGTCTGGCTGCTAGGCCCATGGGCATCCTGACAAGATACACTGGCTTTCAGGATTAACTGTTCCACATGGTTAATAAGCTTATGCAATGAGTATTCGGGAAAGGAATTATTTCAGAGAGCCCTCAATGAACAGATAGTGCAGAGAAGCAAGCTCTTTCTGAATGAACTGGGCCATACCTTACAGATAAAAGACCACTGTTATACAAGGGGATTTTAGATTACAGCAGAGGGAGAGGGAAACCTGAACTGAAATGTTTCCCTGAAGCCAGTAGATCATACTCTCAAGGTAAATGGTCCCCAGGCTCCTGTTTCTCCAAATACAAACATAATACCATCTCTCTTGCTTCCCATTTAACATTCAGAACTATACCTTTTCATACCACTCTTTATGAAGGGAAAATATGTAAGTCTAGAAAAGTATTAGGGTAAATACCATCTTGATGTTATTTAGACATAACTAAATAAATTTAATAATAACAACACAAGATTTTAAAAAACCAAATCAACTTTGATCTTAAAACAGAAGGAGAGACTTCTACAATGATAAACAGCATGAAGAGTTAATGCAGTGGCTTAGAACTAGAGTGTATAATAAAGCTGCATTTAAGGTCACTTGTCTTAAATCAGAAAACTCACCCTAAACTAAGTGAAAATCCTCAGGGTGACACTTCAGGAAAGACCAGCAGTATAACAGCAACATTTAACAGTATAAACTTGGGTTACAACCCAGATGACAACCCAGTTTAATTAATGGTGACACAAGGCATTTATTTACCCCAGATCACTTCTATAATGTGAAGATGCTCCATGGTCTTTAAAGTCCTTTCAAATTTTCAAGGTCTCAGAAATAAACCAATTTTCACATCTCCCAACTTAAATTATTGTATATGATGCTGTTCCTGAAGCTTGTATTATGTAAATTGAGTAGGAAGAAACAGAGCTTCAACCCTTGTCTACTCCTTATTTAAATGATAAGACACCAGAATCTGAAGTTATTAAGTAATAATAGTAATATTCAACTAGGGCTGTACTTGCATGCCAGAGATTTCTGAGAAACCATCCCCCCATTCCCAAGGACCAAAAGGCCACAAAAGACAATCAAGACAATCGAGAGACCCCTGAAATTAGACAAGTACATAAAAGGAAGTAATGTTTAATACTGATTCTAATTACTAATAAAACTTTGGCAATACTTAACAAATCACAATCATAAAGTGTTCTATGTGAGTGAACCTTATGAGTGCATTAACAGCTTTGCCTCCTGGATTGTGAACAATTTTCAAACCTAGATATTTTGAGAACTTTGTGGCATTTAACAAATTTTTTCCTGAGACTACAAGAAAACATCAAATTTAATATTGCCTAATTCCTGTATGTACCATAATCTTAAAGCATGTATTCGCTAAAGTCAGACTTCTAGCACATATAAGTAGTCTTAAGGAATAAGAAATACAGACAGCTTGGTTGGCACATCAAGCATCAGATCACTGAACTAAGAAACCAGGAAATCAACCATAGGTTTATTTTCAAATGGATTCGGTATTTATACGTATTAGTAAACTGCCACAAATTCCCTATCATTCTAGTCTGACAGGTCATCAGACAAATGCATTTGTTCTGCTTTCTATTTGGAAGAGAATGAGTAAATGAAGCAATAATTCAATGAAGCAATGACTGGCCTATTCCCAAGGTTAAAACAAAGCCTGGGTATGTGTCAGAAAGTTTGGATTAAATAACATTAAACAAATGCCACTCCACCCCCAACTACAATCACAAACTCAGTCAACCCTTTCCTAAATACAGACACTAGAATGTTAAGGCTAAGAAGATGAACAAAGATGAGAAAATTGAATTACACAGCAGCTAAGCCAAAAATCTAGCTCAGATAGATCTGAGCTCTTTTACCCAATTTACAGTGTAGTAATTAGAGGTTATACAAGGGAACACTTTTTTGTTGTTGTTGTTTTGTTAAGACCAACTCTTGATATACATAGGCCAGACTGGCCTTGAATTCACGGCAATTTTCCTGCCTCAGCTTCCCAAGTACTGGGATTACATGGGTGTGGCACCATGCCCAACTTAACATTTTTTAAAAAGAAAATTGAGAAGAGAACGGAATGGAAAAACAAAGAAATCTGCTTGCTTGCTTGCTCAACTTTCACTGGTACACAGTATTCTTTTTGCCAGACATTTACACACTACTTGCCAATTGTCTACTACTAGTGGTGTATGGTCCTGAAAACAACAACAAAAAAATGTCTAAGAGTAGATTTTATATTTTTTATGACTGAAAAAATTTAAAGCAAAAATATTTAACGCTGTGGACTTCAAACTTCAGTGCCTAAAACAAGGGTTCACTGACGTTCAGAAACATTCCACCTATTGTTGCTTTCCCACTGTGACAGCAAAGGTGACAAGCTAGAGCAAAGACACACATACTCTTTCTTTCTCTCTCTCTGTGTGTGTGTGTGTGTGTGTGTGTGTGTGTGTGTGTGTGTGTGTCCCACAGGGATTAAAACTTTTCCACAGATCTCTGTTTTCCTCTGACACAGTGAAAATATAATTAATGGATAAAAAGAGAAGAATTAAATTGGAAAAGAAAGTAAGACATGGGAAATGTCGACGTCTGTGTGCATGAGTTTTCCTTTCAGTTCATAGCAGAGAGAACAAGTATGGGCACAACACCAAAGGGAGAGGTGAGTGGTGGTAGGACTTCATTTTGATAATGCTACTAACACAAAAACTTCTTTTACACCTGAAAATTTTTCAAGAACTGAAAATGCATTGATGTGTTTTCTGTACCAGATAGAAGTGGACACAAAGTATAAGAAATTTCCTACATCCTAAATTAGAAGAATAGCCCCAGATTCCACCTGCTTCTGATACCAGTCACATGATTCTTCTAGGTTCTACTCCTTTACATGAAAATGAGGTATGCTGAACAACCAGAAGTGTATTCTTCCTTTCAACTCCTAAAACTACAGGAAGAAACAAGAAGAAAAGAACTGGGAAAGAATAAAACAAACAAAACTAGAGACATCTGAATTCAAGGATTTGACTTTGTTCCTTCCCTTTTTGAGGAGCTTCTGCAACAAAGACACACATGCACCCACAAATTTTATATTCTCATTTATTTCTCTGGGAGCAAAAGCAACACTTATCTGAAAAAAGCTTGCTATACAAGTAAACACCCAAGCACTAGTCATGAATATTATCTGCAACAAGGGGTGGGTTGAAACAGCCAGCACCTTCTTACTACTGTGCTCCAATAAAATGAGGCTTCATTATTGTCTCACAGCATCAAGTAGTTTGGGATCATACAGTTCTGTTTTTTACCTACTGTGGTGATTTTAATAATGCCATTCTGGTCTTTGAAAGGCAAAAATAATACAAAGTCATGCCTGGCCAAGGAACACTGACTTTCTAAAGGCAGAGTATGTGAGTGCATTAACTTGTTGATCAGCTTTCTAAAAGTCCATCTTGGACCAGCACAAAATTCAAAGCATAGAACAGAAGATCTTCTCAGCCAGTTTCCTTGACCTGAAAATTACTAACTTTAAACCAGAAGATGATGTTTTTAAAACCCACTGAAGGAGCTGAAGAGATTGCTCAGTGGTTAGGAGCACATGCTGCTCTTCCAGAGGAACCAAGTCCCTCCCATTCACACCACCCAGATCAATCTAGCTTCAAGGGATCCCACACACTCTTCTGGCCTCCGGGGGTATCGGCACTTGGGCTCACACACCCCTACCCCCATACTTAAAATAACAAATTCTGAATTAAACTCTGAATATTAAATTTGGAATGACCATATAGCCCAAACATTCCACTGCTAGGTACACAAAAAGATTGTGTCTACATATTGTGTCTATGTGTACCCACAGAAGCCCCATGATTTCTAATAGCTCCAAACATAAAGCATTCCAAAATACAGACCTTATTTACAATGGTATTTCTTTACAATGAAATACTACCCGGCAATAATCAACGGTACAACATAATGTTATGCTAAGTCAAGTGAAGCCAGCCAGCATGAGCACATGATCTATAACTCCATTGACATGGAGTTAAAGAAAAGTCCAATGTCTAGAAAGAGAAATTAGATTACAGACTACCAGCAAGTGAGTGGAATGAAGAAAAGCAGGGCAGATTGCTGGAGGTCATTGGGTTTTTGAGATGATGTTGTCACAAGAACAGAAACAGTCAGGCTGGATTGAAGGATCAGTGGTTAAAAACACTGAATGCTCTTCTGATGCCCTCTCTTCTGGGCTCTCTGGGCACTGAACACAAGCGGTACACAGACACACATTCGAGCACAACAAATACACATGAATAAATCTCAAAAGTTACAATACAGGCAGTGGGGGTTATACAATTTTATAAAGAGCTACCAAGCATATTTCGTTTTGAATTGTGGTTTTGCTAATGTATGAATCCTCATGAAGCTACCAAGGAAATATTTACTTAGCTTTTTTCTTTGCTATAATTATATTCTTCATATTTTAGACACTTTATGCTGACCTTCACAATGAAGACATAAAGAACAGGTTATGTTCAATAAGGTGCATGGATGCCCCTTGTTGTATCACTGCAAATTTGTAGATCAGTTTCAAAATGTTGTGCTCACAAGAAAAATGTTTTTATTGTAATCTCCAAAGGATTTGTGTAGGAGAGATGATTCCAAAGCTTTGATGACACAAACACACACACACACACACAAAATAAAAACAAAAAATGCCCTCTGTTTAAAAGCAGGACAAGGAAGAAGAGGAATAACCACTGATCTATCCCATCCTATCACAAAAACTAAGGCTATAGATCACACAAGCAGGGCAAGTGGAAATACTCTGTCCATACAGGTCTGCAGATGCTACTTACCGCCTGGGTCCCGGGGCCTTGCTTCATTTTGGGTGTGGTAGTTCCATTTCCTAGAGCCTCCTCCTCAGAAGGAGCTGTGGTCTTACTCTGAAAATCCTCTTCATCTTCAGCTTTAGTGTCTGGCATTTCTGAAGAGAATATGGTTATTCAGAGAGAGCACATTTGATTAAAAAAAAAAAAAAGAGAGAGAGGTTCCTACGTGCTTTAGTATTTACACAACAAACTCCAGGTTTCATCTGTTTTGTTTGTTTTTCCATGAAATGGCAGAAGCTGGTGCCATTTATGACCCCACGCTGAGCTCCTACTTAGCACATGGTTCTGTGACTGGTTCCTGGGCTCTAAATGAGTTTAGAGCTAAAGGAGGTCCAACTCATTGTCTACTGTCTATTTCATTAATGACATTGAAAAGCTACGGAAATTCATGTGACACTAAATTCATAAACTACAAAGGTGCAGACTAATATGTTTTATAAGGCGGTACATTTTGGACTCCATTATGATAAAACATATTTGTGCAGAGAAAATGGAAAGCCCCTGAAAATTAGATAAAGCCTCTGGGAGAAGAATCACATAAAACATATATTACAGGCCCTGATCTATACCATTATTTTAATCAATAAAACTGGACAATTTCAGTAAGTTCTTTTTGAACTATATTTTTTCCAAAAACAAAATATAGTAAAGAATCAAACACTCTTTTCTGTCTGAAAACAAAACAAAGCTTTTTTTGAAGTTTTCTGTTATTGTTTTAGTATTAAATAGTCTGTCCCTATACTGATCCTGCTTTTTAACAGACTCAACAGTAATAGTTTCTCTTACCTGGTCACCACATGGTCAAGCAAAAGCAGGAAGTGATAATAATGATGTTCAAGACAAATTTAGACTTCTGACACTTCTTTAAAGGGGAAATACTGATTCAATAGTCGAAATCACCTTAATTTTCCAAATATAAATGGAAATTCTGCCTCATTTCCATTTGGTTGTTAATAATCTAACAGTGCCACTACTCAGGCAATAAAAACAATAAAAGACTGAGGTTTCTCTCATCGAAGAATAAATCACATTAAGATTCATTCATACTAACAGCATTTGTGATTCTCTAAGAGATCTTTGATTGGGAAAGTCACATTCCTAACCAAAAAACAAGCAAACAACAACAACAAAACCAAAAAACATTCATAATTCCTTGGACTGTCAATCTTTTACAATTATACAATCTTACTAGCAATTTAAAGTAGGTAGCCAAGTTCGCTTGTCCAGAGAACTAAAATCTGTTAGCTTTCGTAAATCAAGTTTTACTAAAAAACATTTTTTTTTGAAGTAACACCTTTAGAAAAATCCTGAGGAAAACTTTTCTAAGTGACAGAGATTAACTGAGTGCATATGTGAAGAAAGATGTGGCTTTTATTTTATTCAGGAATGTGATTTTTAGCATAACCTCAACTTTTCTATATGCAATCAATGGAAAATATGGACCAGTTACAACAGTAAACATTGATTGCAGAGACTCTGCAAGATTAGCTTGGTTTGGGCAAGCACTAGAACCTTCTGAGCACAGTGATCAATCAATGCTTTTGGTGAGGCAAGGGTCACATTCCCTCTTTTAACAGGCTCCTGCCAAATCAACAGTAAACCTGACCCATTAAAGAATCCTCAAATGGAATGCACCCTTCACAAAAAATATCCCTGACTATGAGCTCACACTCAGGTGCTTTTTTTCTAAAGCCATGTAACCAGGGACTTTCCTCAACCCTGACTATTTCAAAGAAAGCACCAGTTTCTTCACTAGCAACCTTTTTTTTTGTAGTTGGAGTTAGTAACAAAACAAATAACCCACCTACAAAAAACACAACCAACCCCCAATTTTCAAAACTTCCTCCTTCAAAATTTCATACCATTTCTTAGTATCTTTACTACAGTTGCACATATTTAAAAGCATGTCTAAGATTCTGCCAGTTTTTCTTTTTCTTTCTTTTTTTTTACCTTTTCTGATCCAGTGACACAAACACAAGCTTCATAGTTGGCAGTTGCTAGGGTCAAATTGTGATCATAGAACAAGAAGGAGAAATAATTCCATACAGGGTGGCCAAGGACAGAGCACCAAAAGAAAGGAAAATAGCCAGGCATCAACTTACAGCCACTCCCAAGCCTCTGAAATGTCAACCTGCCAAGGCCCCCAAAATAGACTAGTCGTGGTGCCTTGTCTTAAGACTCATAGACCTCATTTCAATATTGAGATAGACGTCAACCTAAAACAGCACTGAATTTAAAAGCCTGAAGTCCCAAAAAGGCCCACCTCAGCTTCCTCAAATCACTTAACCGCTGCTGGAAGTTAGGTTTTAAAATGGCCAAAAGCCCTTCTCGTCCAGGCATAGATAGGCATTGTGTTTAAATACTGTCCTCTCAAAGAATTTACTTTTGTTGGTTCATTTCTCTTCAAACCCCACACTACCATGTATTACACTTAAAAGCATTGCCAACAGTTAAGAACAAAAAAAAAAACTATCAAAAAAGCATCAGAGAGGCGCACGGTACAGCTGGTAGCAGGTGTATAAATGTCTGTATCCAACTGACCTTCAGAGACTTCAGAAGAGAAGATTAACAGCCATTCCAAATCCAGCTTCAGCTTCAGTGTCAAACATCGTAAGTAGCTCTATTCAGCGAGTTCATTCCACTAAGCAATGGTGGTTTCTCTCTGCTCTCTCTGGACATGGTTACCCACTGATGGAACAGGCTGCTTGTGTTGAGCAATCTGCTCAGTGCAGCTGCTTCACCAAGATAAGCAGACACAAGGTCTGCCTGGTGACAGCAGCACGGCAGACTGGGCTTGGGCGGAAATCCTGTATCCTAGCCCCTGTGCTATGCAGGAGCCTGAATTCCCAGACTCTGCCCAAAAGTGAAGCGGCAAACCTGGGGGTCTGTTCCTCATACAGGAAGAGGAGGGAGTACACACCCCCGACTTAACCAATGACCTAATACCACCATTTTAGAAGTTCATTTACGAGTACTTCTCAAAAACAGCTGTTGGTGAAACCAGTCTGACTTTAAATTCTCTTACAATAAAGACAATGACTTGGGAGAGTTTCCAACTTGTAAACAGAGAACATTCATTTCAGCACTATGTCTGTGGGCCTAAAGAAAAGAACTAAATTGTTTGATTAATACCATCTGAGGTCCAGGTACTTCGTTCCCGATTTAGAAACTGTAATGGCTCCAGGGTGACTGACAATGCATGCTTTTTTTTAAAAAAAAAAAAACACCCTTGTGTCTATAATACAGGAAGTAAAAATCTGTCCAACCTAAGATGACACGTGTTTCCTGACAGTAGTGACTATTAACTTGGCAGCTTATACTATGAGCAAGCAAGACCTAAACACAGTCATGGCATCTACATTTTTACCAGTACATAACTGAAACCAGTTTCTGAAGCGGTTAATTTACAGACTACTTAGCTTACCTGGTGCTGGCTCAGGCCTGTTGGCAGGTGGGATAATTTTCTCCGGTTCCTCTGTTTCAACAACACAGTTCCCAGTGGTTTCTTCGTGAATATTATCCATTTGCAGGGTCTCCCCAGGCAGGAAAGTGCATGGGCTCTCTGTACAAACATTCTGCAGCTGCCCTGACTCTGGGATGGACAGTGATGGATCGATGATTTCTCCCTTAGTCAACAGTGGGTTGGTGGCCTTGACTCGCTTGATGACGGCCTCCACTATACGAGTGGCAGTCTCCTCTATGGGGTCTGCTCCCACGGGCATATGTGTAGCTTCGACTCCAGGTAGAGAGGTCTGGATTGAGGTCTGTGGGACTTGCTTCGTGCCAGCTGGAAGGACATTGTCATTGAGAGCTGAGAGTCCTATCTCTGTGGGGCAGACCCTGTCAAGAGGTTGCACTGTGTCTTCACTGTTTGGGGCTTCCCTGGAGTTACTCATGACATGGCTGAGGTCTGTTCCCTCCAGTTTCTCTCTCTTGCAATCAAGTGGTACTATCTCTGAGGTTATGACTTCTTGTAAGCCAGTGACACCTTTGTCCAGTAAAGCTTCTGGCACACTTGGAGTCATTTTCTTCTCTTGGTTTAACAACTCTGAAACTGGACTGTCTTTGACATGGTAGGATGGATCATTTCTTCTGGGATCAGCAGTAGCTGGTAAGGCATTAGACACTGTAACATCCTCCATCACATTTCTGCTGACCTCACTAGCCTTGGTTTCCCCTTGGAACTGAGTATTCACACCAACATCCAGAGCAGAAGTCTGATTGCAATGAAGTGCCTCAGATGCATCAGGCAGCAGAGATGAGACACTCTGCTCTGCACCCGAGGCTTTCTGCTTTGAATCTGCAGCCAGTCTTGCTTTTGGTGGCACCGGGCTCTTTGCAGCCCCACCTTCAGTCAGCTGGGAGATCTGTGTGGCCACTTCCTTGTTTTGCTTAGTTTCTGTTTTCAGCTCAGCAGAAGGTATGCCTGGTGAGTTACTGGGCTGCAGGGCTCTCTCCCCAGCACAGTTGGCTGACATAGGTTTTTCACATAATCTCGGTATCTCCAGCCCAAGAGGTGGCGGTGTCCTCTGGTTTCCCCTTGACATATCTGAAGACTGTGTATCTTCTTTAACGGAAGAACACCCCATTGCTTTATCCTGGTCACCTTGCCCCAGAACTGCTGAGCTTTCAGGAACCACCAGACTGCCGCCTTCCTCAGGCAGGAGAGAGTTGGAGACCAAAGCAGCTTTATCCACACCTTGTGAAGCAGCATTGCTCAGAACTTCAGGTGTTGCTGTTGGCCCAGGGCCCTCCTGTTCTCCACCAAGGCCTACAGGGCTGGTATTTCCCATGCTAGGCTGAAGCTCTACAGCAGGGGATACAGACAGGCCAGCAGCCCCAAATCCTAGCTTACTGGGATCATTTGATTCTCCTCCATCTGGGCCATCTCTATAAGCTATAGTTGTATGGAGGTGAGCAGTTGCTGTTTCTTTTTCTTTCTGGGAGGGGACAAGAGAAAGTGCATCATCTTTGGTTACTGATTCACCCTCTGGACTGCCTGCCAGAGAGAAACTGCTGCCTGGTGGTGTTACCTGGCCTGGCACTGGTTCTTTCTCAGTTTGGGTGGCAACTGAAGGCAAATGTGAAGCATCCTCAAGCGTATCTGTTAAAGTTGTATCACTTTTTAAATCTTTTCCCTGGTTCTTTGCATCTAAAACACACAGTGAACAAACCCCCACAGATTCCCGGGTACTTTTCACAGTGTCAGAAGCGGCCGTGTCAGCTTGTGGGTCTTCTGGGCAGAGGGCAGTGCCCGGATCTTGCACATTTGGCTGTGTTATTGCACTGTCAGGCAGGCTGACTTTACCACTGTCATGTTTTACAACCAACTCACCACTAGGAGTCACTGTGTTCTGTTGAAAGGAAGACTCAGCACAAGATGCACCAGGCCCAGTTGTAGAACAAGGGGGTGCCTCGCTGTTTGGGCTTGGAGCGTGCCATGAATCAGATTCTGAGTTCTGGTTTGACATCCCATCTGGTGTTGGTCCAGAAAAGGTTGAAGCCAGGGGCGATGGCGCCTCACATGGGCCTGCTAGAGGAGCACCAGGCTCTGGCCCACCTGACACCCTGTCTTCCACACCAGCTGGAGACACCAGGGAGCCCTGGTCACTTAAAGCATCAGTCCTCTCTTTACAGATTCTCTCCTGAGCCCCCTTTCCTGCTTTCTCAGCGGTGGCTTCTCCAGGGCTTAAGGGAGGCGAAGGCCCAGCAGGCAGGTTGGCACCCAGGGCACTAGCGGCGAAGACGTGGTTTGTAATATTGGCTTTCTCCATGGGTTCTTGTAGAACTTGAACACCAGACCCCTCAGTCATGCTGACATCAGAATTTTCCAGTCTTTCCTTTGTGCCTTCCCCTACTTGATGCTCATTCTCCTGGGTAGTAGCACTTGGGTTCAGTAAGCTATGTTCCAGTTCCCCTACATTCTCTGGGGGATCAGCATCTGGTAAAGAACTGTCTAGTAGCACCCTTCCAGAAGAATGCTGGCACACACCTGGCTCTGCGACAGTGACTTCCTGCAGCACACTGCCCCTGCTGCTCGGGGGCTGCTGACATGTGGCCACTCCAGAATATTTTGTTCCAGTTACTTCATTCCTGTTTCCACAGGATGGAAGGCCTTCTGTGCCCTTGACTCCACAGTCAGATATGCTCTGAGGGCAGCTGTCTTGATGAGCTGCAGACCCGGAGTCCACAGCGGATGCTGGCTCCTCCTCTTCCCCCTTCCTCCCCACATCTTTATTTTTCTTATGAGAACAGACTACATTTTCTTCCTCAGCCACATTTGACAGATCACAGGAACTTTCAGCCTTCCTCACAGGACTCCCTCGGCAGCACAGAGTGCTCTCAGTTTCTTCAGAAGAAAGCGGCTGCTGGTCAGAAGGCTCTGGTGCACAGGAAAGGACCTGGCCATCTGTCTCTGGTGCACTGGGCACACTAGAAGAATCCTGTGCTGTCACCATTATGGGCATAAGATTGTCCATCTGCTTCAAGTCTGTTTTCTAGGAGGAAATCAAAGATACTTTTTTTAAAAATTGGTCATGAAAACTAAAGGAGTGGCGGCAGGGGGAGGGGAGGAGACAAAACTGACCACCACAAAAAGATACCTGCAAGCAAAGTCTTGTTAGACAGAACTGTCTTTCCAAGCCTTCTCAGTTAACAAACGATGCACCACCTTCTGCCCACACCTGTGTATCCATTGGGATGGTAAGTTTTAATTACATTAAACTCAGTGACTGATTTCCATAATTGAAAATAAATTTTAACTTGGGCCTCAAAAGCCTTGTTTCAAACCAGCACAATGGACATCAACAAATAACAAACAACAAAGATCTTTAGTTCTTTATAGGAACAGAGCCTACTTCCATCTGCCTCAAATAGTCATGGGAAAAAAAGTCCAACCAATTTTAACACTCCTTTCAATCAAAATAGTCAGCCACATAACCATATCCTCAATATATGTTCAACCCAACATAGATAAACTAAGTAGGTTCAAAATTAGGGATAGTATGTATCAGTTTGATTAAAAAGTACTTTTTGTGGTATCCATATTAAATGGTAAATAAAAAGAGTATATACTACCAACTAGTGTCAAGGGTCCTGTGAGCTAGAAAGTATTAAAAATCTTGTTAAAAAATAAGTTTAGACACTTTAAAATTTTGGGGTAATTTAGTTTTGTTTGCTTGTTTGTTTTCTGAGACAAGGGCTTATTACTATGTAGGAGAAACTTGTTATGTAGATGGGCTGGCTATAAAATTGTTTAATCCTGTTTCTGCCTCTTGACTGCTGTGATTATTAGCCTCATATTACCATATACAGCTTAAGAATTTTGTTTATTATATAAACAAATACAGCAAATATGAAAGAAATTATTAAAATGAACTTGATAGAAAGAACACACTTATATAAACTATGAAGACTAATCTATTTTCTGCTGTTGTCTTCGTGTGTGTGTGATACAATGTTGAAAAAAGCTATATAAAATTTATAGTTAATCAAAGTTATAAGTTAAGCAAAAATGACACTGGAGAGTTGGCTCAGTGTTGAAGAGTGCCTATTGCTCTTGCAAAGGGCCTGAAATTTCTATTTCCAGCACCCTACCTACATCAAGCAGTTTGCAACCATTTCTAACTACAGCTCCATGGAATTCAAAAGCCTCCTCTGGCCTCCATGTATACCTGCACTTATTTGCCCATATTCCCTGACATGTGGCCCCCACACACAATTAAAAATAATCTTAAAATATAAAAATATCATGAATATGCAGACAAGACTCAGGAAAATAAATATAACCAAACAGAGTTGAACCTTTAATAAGTTCATAATAACAAAATTCAGGATAGTACTATTTGGCACATAATTATTTAAAAATCTGTTTTCCATTTATTATTTATCTATTGAAATAATTTTATATACGCCCATTCTTATGTCTCACTTACCTGCTTAATCTGTAAGTATACCGAGTAGTATTGTTCCTGCTCATTAAAGCTATTGTAAAGTTTGCAGGTAAGAGTATTTGTGCCATCCTTGCTATAGTCCTTTTATTAGAGTATACCAAAAACCAGACTTTTCATTAAACACATATGCTGTATCCCTTAAGAGTATTCAAAACTAGCATTGTAACACACCCCTTAAAAGTTAGGACAGCAAATTGTTACCCTTGATGAAAGGGGAACACTACAGACCAGAGAAACAAGTGGGCAATGCTGCCTAAAGAATGGTCAAAGTAACAATGACATGTGTAAGCTCAGTTTTCTTAAACAACCATTCATTAAATAAGAGCTCAGAAAAGAAAAAAAAGTAATTTTGAAACAGTCTACTCAAAGGAAAATGGCAGGCTGGAAACAAATATTCAGAAAGGCAGAAGAAGGCCAGAGAGGTGGCTTAGTGGTTAAGAGCACTGGCTGCTCTTCCAAAGGACCTAGGTTCTATTCTCAGGATTCACATGGTGGTTTACAACTGTCTGTAAGTCCAGTTCCAGAGGAAACAACACCTACTTCTGACCTCTGAGAATATTGCATACACACTGCATGCACAGGATGCACAGACACACAAAAAAAAAAAAAAAAAAAAAAAAAAGGAAAAGGAAAGACAGAATAAACCATTTCATACAATACAGTGTAGAATTTTCTTTTTTGCTTGCTTGTCTCAGAAATAATGCTTGTTCCCAAAGAAGCCCCAGGCTTCAAGCTGGCCCTAGATGACCTTACATAAAATTATTATCAGGCTGTTTCCAAATCAAATCAGATTTGAAATAAACTGGGTGGAAAAATTATCTAAACTTAGCTTTTCAGATGCTACAGTCCAGAGAAATCCAGCCATATGACGTCTATATTACCCACAATAAATGCTACCAAGGAGTCTGTAATGATTTTATGTCTGGCAAACATTTTATCTTCAATGCTTGAGTGGATTATAAAATCCTTATTTTTCAGATGACCTTTTTAACTGTCAACTATTCATTTAAACATGGTAGGTACTTCCATCATCATTCCCTGAACAGCAGTGAAAGGGTTATTCCTAAGGAGTCAATTCCCTTCTTGGTCTTCAGCAACAATCTAGAAACTCTGACCTCCTACAGTTCTAAAGCATTAACAAAAATTTCTTTTCATGACATGAAAATTTTGTCCTACTTGCTACACATTAGCACATCTATAGTGACCATGAGTACCTTTCATTACTTCAGAAATTTGGGAAGAATTTCAAATTTAAAGGTCCCAGTCCTATAGACCAGCAGGATGGCTCAATGAGTTATAGCACTTGCCATGTAACCCTGAGAACCTGAGTTTGATAACTGAAAGAGAACCGACTCATAAAAGTTGTCTTCTGACTTCCATACATGACCTTCTGCACACACACACTCTCTCTCTCACTAATTGAAAACTGATTTTTTAATACACTGTATTCTAATCATGGTTTCCCCTCCCCCAGCTCTCCAAATCCACACACTTTCCTTCTCTCTTTCATTAGAAAACAAACAGGCACCTAAACCAAAGTATATAAAATAACATAGAATAAAAGCAAATAAACCAGAATAGGACAAAACAAACAGAAGAGAAAGGGGGGAGAGGAAGGGAGGAGAGAGAGAGGGAGAGAGAGAGAGAGAGAGAGAGAGAGAGAGAGAGAGAGAGAACGAGAACTGGAAACATATAGATGCAGGGCCACAAAACATTTGTATACAAAAAATTCAGTTTGTTTTGTGTTGGCCACCTACTACTGCTGGGCATGGGGCCTGTTCTTCAGTGTGGTTGTATACCCAATGGGGCTCTATTGAAAAAACTATTTTTTCCTTTACGAGCAGTTTTTGACTAGAGATATCTTCTGGGTCAGGGATGGGAGCTTGTGTCTATCTTCCCTTTTGGTGCTGGGACCCCACTTGGCTTAGACCTATGCAGGCCACCACTGTGTTCTTGAGTTCATATACGCTACAAGCTCTCTGACCTACAATGGTGATCTGCCTACAAAATATACTGGTACAACAGTGCCACAAAAGTTGTGGGAGCAATTCATTACTATCTGAGTGGAATTAGGCCCATTCGTGAGATGGAACCAATGCTAGACAGTACTCAGTTAGCCAAGAACCTGAGGCTAGACAGGTTTGGGGCCTGGGGGGAAACCAAACACTACTGTTCTGTTAAAGGAATGTAGCGATAAAATGATTCTAACATTCTTCTATACTCGTAGGTCAGTATCTTGCTCAGCCATCATCAGAGAAGTTTCCTCCTGCAGAAGATGGTAACAAATACAGAAACCCAAAATGGAACAAAGTGCAGAGTTTGAGACCTCGGAACAACTCTGTTCTACATGGCACATCTCCACCAAATCCATCCCCTCAGAGCCCAGGAAATCCTGTGGAAGAGGAGGTGGAAAGATTTATGAGACAGTGGGGATGGAGGACACTAAGGAAACAAACTCTCCTATAAAAAAAGACAGAAAGAGATCTCTACTGCCATATAATATTAACACTGGTTCTGCATCTTAAGTGGCAACTGTCTTTGTTTTTTATTGTTATAAACACCATGACCAAATCGAACTTGGGAAAGGTTTTATTACATCTTACGAATCTCAGGTATAGTCTATCACTGCAGGATATAAGGACAGAAACTCAAAAGGAACCTGGGGGCATGAGCTGACTGACTATGTAGGACACTACTTACTGACTTGCTTCCCACAGTTTGCTCAGCTTTCGTATACAACCCTAGACTACCTGCTCAGGGTTAATCCCTTGCAGTTTGATGCAGGTGTTTCTCAATTTTTCCAAAATGACTCTAGGTTGTGTCAAGCTGACAAAATACTAACCAGCACAGCAACACTGGACACTAACAATACTTTATAAATTTACATTTTAATTATAGCAAGACTCATTGGGGAGATAGGCAGACAACTACCTAAAAATTAAAACTTCCCCTTACCATTAGCTGCTGTTGGATATTCATAAGTTTAAAAATATGTCCAGTACAACTGTCTCCATGGGGTTCATGATGTGATTCAGATTCAGAAGTCAACGTGTAGATGTCCAATTCTCGGTGGTGCCTCACTGAACAGTCTCCATAGGGGATTTCATAGGATAAACTGCTCCAGGAATCCGGTTCACCAGCATTTTCCCTGCAAGCAAACAATCTCTGTTAATATACAAACTCTACCACCAGGCACAGATTTGATATTCTAGGTATGATGTAATATTTCTGATTGCTCTTGGAGCTTTCAAAGCAGGAAACGGGTTTATGCAGCTCCAATGATTCAAGCACATGACAAGCATCTCTATCTTCTTTTCCTCTTTGCAAGAGAATAGAAATGGCTTAAGGAAATTTCCTAGGATGTTCTTTTGATTGAGACAGGGAAGTCTGGAATCTTTAGTCAACAACATGCTAATAATCAAATAATGAACGATAAGGATGATGGCTTCAACCTGATCTTCAGTAGTAGCACGATCTATTAAGTCTGGATTATTATACTATACGCTAACAAACTTCAGTCCTATTAGAAGAGAAGAATTACTCATTCCAACCCCTATAAAGATACTCCTTTGAAACATTAGGTGGAAGAAACACCTTCAAATTTCTTGAAATCAACTACACAAGGAAAAACTACAATGCTATATACATATATAGTAATCTCATCAACACACTTATTTTAAAAATCCTGTTTTATATGAAGCTCTGGTTCTACAAAATTCAAGGTTTTTTTTTTTTTTCCCTTTTTTTTCTAATTTAGAAACCAAAACCTGGCTTTGTGGCTCAGTGGTAGAACACCTGGGATTGATTATATATATATACTACGATGAAAGCAGAGGGTGTTTTATTGCTAACTTGCATTTATGCAGTATAGACATCATTTCACTAGGACATCAGACAGTAAGTATCTTAAATTGTCATACCAAACAGATCTTGAAGCAGACTTCAAACTTTCAATTGTCCTGCCAAAGGTGATTTATATTATTTTCAAACATTCTCATGAGTCTCAAGTTGTGTGTAGTTTCTAGCATGGCTCCAGAAAACACTCATCTGGGCTCAGTAGGACTATGTAGTCTAGTAATTCATCTGTAACTTCATCTGAGCACAAGTACATGCATCTTCTAAATATCCTGTTTCCACTGTTCTATACAATCCTGAGGCACATGTAGGTGTGCAGGTATTTGTTGGGAATCTACTTCAGAGAAAAAAAGGAAGACTATCTTCTGTTTTCTTGAAGATGCTTAAAATGGTTTCAGCCTATGATTCTGGGGATGGACAGATAACCTAAAGAAAAAACATAACCCAATGCATTAAGTAGTCATGGTTTAAAAACCACAAGTTGAATAAGAAGCCCAAAGGCCATAATAACCCATATTGGGTTGCTGATAAAAAAAAAAAAAAATGATTATAAACTACAATAGATCACAGTGTTCTGTTAATAAAATTTACACCCTCCCCCATTATTCTTGAATTACAATATAGCACTCAGGCTATCCTACAACTCATAATCCTTCTGCTGTTGATTATGTACTGGTAAGATTATAGCCATGTGACATCAAAAAATGACATATTTTGATCAGTGCACTATTTCATGAGAGAATGTTCTTATTCTTAAAAGTGAGACAAAAGTAGAGTGATATCTGTAATTTATTCTCAATGAGTTTGATAAAAATATTTCTATATATGTAGATATGCAAAGAAAAACTATTAAAAAAAGTTAGCAAATGGTGAATTGAGATGAGTAACATACAGAAGTTCATTATATTACTGTTTCATCTTTCCTATGAGTTAAAAAAATATCAACACAAAAAGTTAAATTACTAAGCAATTTAAAACATGCAAAGGTGGTATTAATTCTTTTATTTTTCTCTGATTTTCATTTATTTAAGGTAGGCGGGAAATACTATTTCTAGGGGGGAAAACTAGGTACTTCTAAGATGCAATAATCTTGATAAGTACTTCAAGTGTATTATTTAATCTTCATATCAGTATTTGCAAACAGTATCATTCCTACTTAGGGTGGAGAAATTGAGGCTCACATATTAAATCATTTACTCGGGGTATAACAAAAATACCAGCACTGATTAATCTGTGCATAAGATCAAATTTTACCATTTACAGGAACAACTAAGGTCAGAAGTTTGCCTCTTTGAGCATACAATTTGACAAAAAATGGGAATGATTCCTTTATAAAGTTGAGGCAATTACAGAGTTTAATCAATTATTTAAGAATCCCTGGCATTCAGCTGAAGTCAGTAAGAATTAACACCCTTCCTACTCAGCACATCACCATTAAGTAAGGGAATCCTAGATCTGGATACAAGCTGGGCTGGCTCCAAAGCCTGTACTCTCCCATTGTATATAATGGTGCTTTTGGTAGAAAGGACTGAGTTTTTATAGGAGTGCCACAGAAGAACATTAAAAAGGGCCATTCTAAGGCAGAATGAGGCAAAAATGTCTTTGGGGGATTCTCTTGTTGAGTCAAAACAACGTCCACTCCAGGTAGAATGCTTTCCAACACAGAAACACTCCACGATTTAAAAAAAAAAAAGAAAAGAAAATTCTCAAGTTCGGCTACCAAATTAACAGCACAACAAGCACTGATGACATTCTCATGAAATGTAGCAGAAATGAGCAACCCAAATTCTCCTTGCTGAGATGTTCCAAACTGAGCATACTCCCCTCAAATGAAGTGCAGCTAACAAGCAAGGCTGTTATGCTGGAAGCCATGGCCACAGCCATGTTGTTCACAAGCAGACCCACCATCGCCTGCCTGTCGTCTGTAAAGGGGGGAAAACACCTATTTGCTGCATCAGCTCACCTTAAACTTATGTGTGTTGATATGTTTAGAGGTTAAGCCACAGGGCAGTTAGAGGAACATGCATAATACTGATGTTTGGGTAAAATTTCATTTATACTGTATATGGTCTAAGATAAATGATTTGGATTCTAGATACAAGGTTTTGCAAGTGATATGAAAACAAGTAAGCTGGCAAAGAGGGAGAGAGCCTGCCATAAAGTAGGGGAAATGGGAAGTAGGTGGGGAAATGACTAAAATATGCTATTTAAGTATAATCATCTCTAGATTATGTGAAATGTATTTTGAGAAATATTTTTAAAATCAAAAGGACTGGGGACAGCAGAATCCTCATGGAGTTAACTTAAAAATTAAAGACATACAAAGAAAGATATGAGTGCATATAAAATATAAACCAACCTCCCTCCCTCTGTCTTTCCTGTCTCTCCCCTCCCACCCTCTAATAAAATACTAGTTTCTATTTTCTCCTAAAAAAGGAGGGAGGGGAGGAACAGGGGCAGGGACACACAGGATACATACTACTGTTTCCTTTTATTGCTAAATTAGTTGCTTAACAAATATCAGATATTAAACTATGCACATATGCCATCCAATTTATTCTCTTAGCTATTCAAGAAGATCATTATTATCCCCATTTGCAGAAGAGAATGCTGAAGTTTTAAGTTATAAGCAACTGATTAACTTAACCTACAACTAGTGAGTATCAGAGCCCACACTTGGGCTCAATCTTCGGTAGATATCATTACACTGCAATGTCATCCATCATAGTGAAGGGCACCTGAAAACTATTTTAATAAACATCAGCACCACTGAGTCAAGTCAAACTTAAATTGGAGAAATACAAAAATAACTCGAAGCTTGAGAAGAAAATTAAAATTGGATAAAACAATCTGAAAATGGTGATGTGAAACAGACCAAGAAAGTCCAATGTACAAGACAGGGAACACGGCAGGCAGACTACTCTTTAAATTTTTAGTTTTCTTGAGTAGTAAAACCCCAAACAAAATCAAACAGCAAGCACCTGTTGGCCAATTTATGCGGCCTATTTATGGAGAAAGAAATGTACAATGTCTTCTAGTCTTAGTGAAATTCACTTTTAATGACAGATCTAAACATGAATTTGTTAAGCTCACTGTACTGAACATTAAAAATCATCTGATGAATAAATTTCCATGTAAAGATTCTACAATTCTATAAGCAATTTGTTAATCAGTAACTTTAAATTACAATGACGTTATTACCATTCTGTAAACTACTTTTTCCCAATTGAAAAAGAAAATTCTGCTTATCAGTCTAATAGGATCCTCCACTTTCAGTCAGAAAGTTTTCAGCTGGCAATATGCTAGGTTACTGACGTTCAAGACAAAATCCCACAAACAAACCAGTAAGCAAATACAGCTTTAGAAAGCCCACTGCTTTGACTTAAATGTTTCAGAATTTATTACTGAAATATATCCATTTCATTCATTAATTAGATCAATAAACTGGGACACAATAAAGACAATAAAGAAACAATTCATTTTTTAATAAACTAGTGACTCCTTAAAAGATTTACATATTTATTATGTATATGGCGTTATGCCTCCAGGGATGCTCTTCAGAGGTCCTAAGTCCAATTTCCAGCAACTAGTCTGACTGTTATCTCTTTTAATCTGCTACTCTGGCAGCAACATGTAACATTATTCTGCCTAATAACAGCACCGTAAATAGATTAAGTGAAAAGAAAGAAAATTTCTCTATTTCTGAAAAACAATCAGTCTTTTTTCTTTCTAGGTAGTAGTGTTTACTACCAAGACAAAGGAAAAGCAGTATTAGGGGGCACATCACATGTATTATCAGCTAGGCTGAAGGGAAAAGGTTCCATTACTCCATCAGAAGGAGACTTCACATAGGCCTGGGCAATTAATTGACTATGATTCAGGAGATTTTAAAAGCCCAGTTCACAGTTGGTTATTGATGATGATGATGACTTTAGCAAAAGCATCCAAAGACAACTTTAATAGCCATGTTACTGAGAGCTTCTATAATTTATTGAGATGATTCCCTTGAACCAAATATGAAATGCTGGGAGAAAATTATAGCTCAAAATAAGCACTATGCAAGTGTAAAGGATTATCTAGTTCTCAAGCTGGGCCGTGGTGGCTCATGCCTTTAATCCTGGCACGTGGGAGGCAGAAGCAGGTGGATCTCTGTGAGTTCGAGGACAGCCTGGTCTACAAAGCCTGGTCTACAGAGAGAAACCCTGTCTCAAAAAAAAAAAAAAAACAAACACACATTTAGTCTCCCAAGTGACAATACCAATGTTCTGTATATAAAAAAGAAATGTAAGTAAA